CTTGTCCCTGGAACATCAATTTAAAACATGGTTTGTTTATTTACTAATTCAGAAAGCACAATTAATATTGCCAAGTCAAGCTTAAAAGTAATCAAAGTTTACCCCTAATCCAGCTAAGTAGACGTCTACTTTACTAAGATGATTCTGTAATCACCTGAGTCTAACTTTTGCATCAAGTTTGCCGAAGGAATCTTTTCTGAGACATGTATTATTTTCCTGTTTCCTTTCCTTCTGAGTACCCTCTGAATTTTAAGATCCCCTTCTCGTCATGTTGCTCTGGTTTCTCATACTCCTATTGTCAAGGACACAAGCAAGATTAGTAGTCTTTTATGCTCCAGATTTAATGATCACTTGCTCTCATAAAAATTTACCTGTCTCATGATTTAGTCCCTCAAACTTCACTTTTTCACTATCAACTTAATCTAACAAATAATCCTATCTTTAATATTGGCTACTGATAGTGGCCTAACTTTATTCTTTCTACATTACATCTGCTGTTTAATAGTGGCTCCAGTGCCTTAATAATTGTATGGACCCTGACAAGTTCTGTGAGAGTTTGGGCACACTGGGAAATATGAATATATCACAGAAGGGTTGTCAAATCTAAGTGATAAGTCATAGGACTTGCAAAATTCAGAGACGACTGATATTGAGTATGTGAAAATGCTTAACAATTAAAAAGTGCTATACACATATGTGATATCATTATCATTACTACTACCATCATTCTAGTTAGTTTTACCCATCTTCTCAAACAGATAAGACTCTTCAGAAGGAAAATGTACTAAAAATATAACTTTTAGTAACTCCTAGGAATTTTAGGAAATCTTTCCCTACAAGAGTCCTTCTTTTAATTTTCCTTCTGCTTTAACTAAGAAATGATGACCAGTTACATAAAGTCTTATAGGAGTCAGCTTATGATGGGCTGGTCAGTATTGACCAATGAATAAAATAAATAAGACTTACAAAGGAAAAAGAAAAACAGTAAGATATTGAATGCTAAGTATCTTTCTTAATTATCTTTTCATCTTCCCATTATGCTCACATACTTGTTTAATACTTTCAAAACAAAATAGAATTTCCAAGATTAAGAAACTAGAGGAACTGTGAAATTTTTATAATCATTGATAGTAAGTCTTTATGGATCATTGATCTAAAAAAGTTTATGTACTCTATTTATGAACTAAAAGGTCATAATCAATATCTGCTGCTTTGTATTTTCTTCCTAAGACTTCCTTTTTGCTGTTTCATTTTTAGTGAATAGATTTATCTGACAAATCCAGCTTTAATCTTCACAGGTGTAGAGATGCTGAGACATTCCAGAACAGAAAAGGAGGAGGGAGAGAGGGAAATTCCAAAAGAATGATTTGCTTATTTGGGGGAGGATAAAAATGTAAATCTAAATATTGCTTTTACCTCACTCAAATATTCACAAAATATTTTAAACACCGCTTAAGCCACTGGGGAAAAAACGTTTCCAAGAGTCTGTTACCCACTTATTAATATCCAATACCCAACATGGAAAGTTAGCAAATAGAGACAGCATGTGTTGAAACTACTCTAAATGGTTTTCAACATTTGTGGCATGTTTATATTTTTGCAGGAAATGACTCAAAATTTGCTTTGAAGTATTTTGTACTTCTTATGGTAATAAAGGAAAAAAAAAGTTCTGCTTTGCTCCAATTCTCCATTAATATTTAGATAAAGCCACAATTTTCTTCTTGATTTACCAAAAATACAATTGTAAGAAATATTATTTAGGGAATTTCCATCTAAAATATCATCAATCTGACATAATTTTTTAAATCCATGCTTTCTTCATAATAAAAGCCGCTACCATCTAGAAACTATGGTCAAGGTCCTGATATTAATTTATTTATCCATTTATTGTTTATATTCCACATACTTACCCCTAAATTAAATGTTTAAATTTACATTTGACTTTAAACGGAATTACAGAATTTTTAAGAATTCAAAATCTAATGAATGTGATAAATGAAAAGTTAAATTGGCTTAGGACAAATTTCTGCATTAGAAAAACACTATGTGAGCACTGTGAAAAGAAAGCAAAACTTTCCAAAGGTCAGTTTGAAATCACTCAGGAGTTTGACCAAAAAAACTATTTTCTCTTTGGGTTACTAGGTATTATTAAGTAAGCTAAATACTATGGACAGGATAAATCTTGATTTTAGAACATTATTAGAAGAAAAATTTAATGGTATCTTTTGAGATATGAATAAGGCTTTGGTGGAATTCACAGATGATGAAAAACATCTTTGCAAAAAGTGATGAATGACAGATTATCCCAAACTGAAGGATGACATGCTTGTATCATCATGAGATTATGAAGACATACTGAAGTTTATAAATGTCAGAAAGTTCCTCAAAAAAAGTGAACAAAGACCCAGATTACAATCCGAATATAATATTTGTATCAATGCACACTCAGTTACACTCTATGATGTGGGAACATTATTTGAAACCCTGCGTTTGGTTGTGGCATAACCCACACTTTACAGGGGACTTGGCAAGCAAGAATCTGTTCAGAGAAAGCATCCAGAGGAAAATGAAATCTTTGAAAACTACACAATGTCAGAATTGGTTGAAAGAACAGATTGTGTTTTGGCTGAGAAAAAGTGTCAGATGGGACATACTAACAGCTTCTACTATCTGGAGGTCGGTTCAGTGGAAGAAGGACTATTACCTCAGGAGTAGAACTAAGACCAATGGTTACACGTGATTGTGAGAAATATAAGAAAATGTCTAACAAATAGGAATAATCTGTTTATAAAAGAAACAGGAAGGCACTAGAACTGTCAAGAATGTGCAGTAGAAGGGAGACTAGTGCTCAACTCCTGACCTCACTGTTTTATTTATTTATTTAATTAAAAAAAAATTTTTTTTTTGCGGTATGCGGGCCTCTCACTGCTGTGGCCTCTCCCGTTGCAGAGCACAGGCTCCGGACGCGCAGGCTCAGCGGCCATGGCTCACGGGCCCAGCCGCTCTGTGGCACGTGGGATCCTCCCAGACCGGGGCACGAACCCGTGTCCCCTGCATCGGCAGGCGGACTCTCAACCACTGCGCCACCAGGGAAGCCCGTGACCTCACTGCTTTTTTGAAAAAATATTAATTTTAATGGGAGTATAGCTGCTTTACAATGTTATATTAGTTTCTGCTGTACAGCAAAGTGAATCAGCTATTTGTATACATATAACCCTTCTCTTTTTAGATTTCTTTTCCATTTAGTTCGTCACAGAGCATTGAGTAGAGTCTGACCTCACTGCTTTTTTTAGCTTTGGGATCTTGGTCCAGTTACTAAACTTCTCTGACTTTCCATTTCCTTATCTATAAAATGGATGTTCTTGCATTGGGTGAAAGTGGCATAGGAGGCCAGAATACTGAGGTAAGGGAGAAGAAATCCCGAACTAGATGACCACCATGCTTCTTCCTATTTCTAAGTTTCTACTATTTTATAATAAGTGAAAGTAAGATATTTTTCATCTCATGGTAAGAAATTATTGCTAAATAATTTCTCTTATTCAACATATAACTATTCTGTTGTATAATAGGTATATAGTGCCTACTATATATAGGCACTCTTCTAGAATACAGAAGTGAAAAAAGTGCACAAAAAATGCTTGTCCTCATAGACCTTATATTATATGGGAGGAGACAGACAATAAATAAGTAAATCATATAGTATAGTAGAAGCTGAGAAGTGCTATATAGAAAAATAGAGAAATTAGAAATTTTAAATAAGGCCTGGAAGCTTCAATGAGAAGCAGACAAATGAACAAAGATACATTAATTTCATCAGTAATTGTAAAATTAATTTTATTATGAAATCCATTGAAAAATGTGGTACCCTCAACCAAATCCTGTGATCCAAATAATGTTCCAAATAATGTAATCTCATCAGAGAATGTTATGGACTGAATTGTGTTCCCCCAAAATTCATGTTGAAGTTCTAACCTTTAGTACTTCAGAATGTGTACTAAATAGGACTAGTACACATTCTGCACTTCAGAACGTGTACTAATAGGAAATAGGATTTTTAAGGAGGTAATTAAGTTAAATGAGATCATTGGGATGGGTCCCAATACAAAACGACTGGTGTATTTATAAGGAGAGGAGATTAGGACAAAGACGTTTTACAGAGGGAAGAACATGCGAAGACAGAGACACAGAGAGAAGGCGCTGTCTGTAAGCCAAGGAGAAAGGCCTCAGAAGAAACCAACCCTGCTGACACTTGCCTCCAGAACAGTGAGACAATACATTTCTGCTGTCTAAGCCACCCAGTCTGTGGTGCTTTGTTACAGCAGCCCTAACAAATGAATGCAGAGAATATTGTAGTATATTAACCCAGTCTAAATATTAAGTCTAGGATAATGCAAGATTGCATAGCCATTTTTAGAGCAACTCAGAATCTTTTACAAACTTTATATTTAGAATTTAAGTGTAGATTTCAGTTTTTTCTGTGTTTATCCTTTTAACATTAAATTGCATTGAAAATCTTAAACCTAATGGTTTCCTCCCAACATACTCTATGGAAGAGATATGGTTTAAGCAAAATATCACAAGGACTTCACAACTAATGATACCATGCTTAAGTTATATGTAAACTTTCAGGATATGCAAAACAGTTATTTTTCTATCAAGCTGTATATACACTTAGTGAAGTTTAAGATGGCAGCTCATAATCTTTTAAAATGTTTATGTGCACAAGCAAAAAGTTAATAATACCAGAAATTAGATTTTCCCATCTCCTTCAAATCTTATTCCTCAATTGCTGAAAGAGCTCAGTCCAGTTTTGCTGGGTACCTGTAATCAAGCTGGCCACCTACTCATACAAGGAACTGCATGACTCTGTGGAATATACTGGATGCATGTTTTAAAATACTCTTTAGTTTGAATAATATTGTTTCCTATTCCCTTTAGATGTTCCTATTAGTGATATACATTAGTTTTAGAGATAAAAATAAGTAAATGAATATACTTACAGGTCCTGTTAATCTAGATGCTTTCTCAAATTCTTCACCCTCTTCCATCAGTGCTTCTTCTGTTCCAGCTAGAGAATCTATTTTCACAAAAAGAATGAATAAACTAGAGTCACATATTGCTTAATAACTCTCTGATATACAAACCTATTACGAGAAGGATATTAAAGTGACTGAACCAGTTGTTGAAAAATCATAGTGTTTGTGATTTAAAATAGGGTGTAGAATGTTATTTATTTAACAATGTATGAAAAACGTTTTGCATTTCTAATTTAAAAGGGCACAGTGCAGTGAGGAAGGTGCAAGAGCTGCAGTCATCTCAGAGCAACACTCCTTTTGGCATATTAGTTAGCTAATTGTTGGAACGTTAACGTCCTTTTTCTGTCTTGTAATTTTGTATTTGTTTTATCCATCAACTTTTTTTTTGCTACACTATTTAGGTATCAATTTGTGTTCTCTCTTTTAAATGGGATGAAAAATTCCGAAAAGTTTGGAGAAAAGTACATATTATTAAATGGTGGTAGGCTTTCCATTTTAATGTATCAAGCAAAAAGTTGTAATTATTCACTTGACTAGATTGATGAGTGGGTGGGTAGCAACTTTCAAATATGTGAATAAAATGATGGCAACACTTTCCATATGTCTGCTGAATTAAATTAATTATAACAAAGATTTCTATAGGCTATAAAGAATTCTTCAATAAAGACAGATACATGGAGCATCTAGAAACAGTCTGCATTTTAATACCTTCCATTCAAATAAAAACATCAGTTAAGAGGAAGGTATTCTAAACCACTGAAAACTTTAAGAATTGATTTCTTATATTTATTAATTTTAAAGAGCCATATGCCTCCCTAAAGAAGACTTTCTTCAGATTCACATACATATGGAGACAGATTTTTTTTCCTGTTGCATAAAATGTGTGCTCTGGGAAGAAAATCAGAGCATTAAATCCTCCAAGCCCTTAATGGCCACTCAAGACCAGAGAGACAATGGAAAGCTTAGCACAAATCCATAAGCATAGCTTTTGAATCATGGAGCTCTCTCTATCTCAGATAATTTAGAATTTTATATTCAAAAAGAAAAATAAAATCAGGATAAATGAGAATTATATCAAGTTAAAAATATTAATCTATTAATGAAGGAAGCTTGAACCCCTATCTATTAAAACCCCTTTGTAAATATGACACTAGATAGATTCTTTACATTAGAATGTATAAGTTAGCATAATTCAAGTCCTCCAGGACTGAATTATATTCTGCAGAACTGTGAGCAAATATTCCTGTAATTTCAGCATTCACTTAGTATTTTTTCTATTTTATTTCTGTGCTGAAATTTTTATTTGTGTAGAATATTGACATAAGTAATATTAAAGTGTTCTATTCTACATTATAAAGCAAATTATTTCATTTAAAGAAGAAAACGCACTCTCGTGGATTTGCTAGGTTTTGTATAGTTAGAAATACTATATAATAAGTGAGTTCTCAAGTTCCTCTCGGTGAGCAGTTAATGGTTTTAAAGAGATATTGTCATTGCATTTGTTTTTTATGCATATGTACATTAATCAATTCATTCATCCATTTATTTGTGTATTTGTATATTCATTTATTCAAAAAAACTATATGCCAGGCTCTCAGCTAGGTGCTTTCAAAACAAGTTGAGCAAGAAAATTTTCTATGACTCTTTCTGTCTTGGAATTTATTTGAACACCTTTACAGTATTGATTTTTTTAATAAAGATTAACATTTATAAAGGGAAGGTATTGGTAACTTTATATGGTTTTACATTTTGTTCTGTTCTTGTTTTGGTTGGAGTCTTCCTGGTTATTGGTGCCATATCCAGTGAGATCTACAGTGAAAAGGGACAACTGTGAAGTGCACCAGAATATTTGTGAATTTACATACCTGACTGTATTAAAAGTTAAGGTGAAAGGACCCTTAAATAGCCCAAATCTAGTGATAGAGTAAGTATAAATGATTTTCAAAATGCAAGCAATGAATTCTTTGAGCTTTCTTTAATAACATGGAGGGGAAAACGAGTCTCTAAATTTGTCAAATGTTAGAGAGTTTATCTCCTCATTTGAGAGAAGAAACTGAAGCATCGAAAGATAAAGTACTTTTGTCAAAATCTAAGTTTCTGGCAGCACTTGGACTAAAAACTTAGCCCCTGTGGTTGATTGGGTGTGCTGTTAAGAACCTGGAGACCTGTAGGGTTTGTCGCTGTTTAACTTCACTTAATGTCTTCCTGTCATTATTTGTACTTTTGCTGTTTGTGTCATAACAGGTTTTTGTTAAGCACAAAATTATACCTGTTCATAGAAATATTTACGTTTATTTAGCCAAGCTCAATGTGGATGCATATTTAACATAAAAATCACATTAGCACTCTTTGGATCCAGTGATTTGACTAACTTCAGTAGGAAAGAATGTACTGAATCAGAAAGCATATTTTGGAATTCGTTGATTAGGTCTCTAATATCTGAATGTGAAGAATGCAGGATATAAGAAGTTCAAGAAAGGAGCTTAAACTTAATGAATACCTTTTCTCCCAGTGAATGCAAGTAAGTATAATCAACACATTACTGATGCCTTGTTTAATTTTCTAAAAATTTAAATCCTAACAATACTCAGTTATTATGTAAACATGATTGTTGAAGGATATATTATCTGTAGATCGGTGGATTGGAGTGGTTTTGATAGAATTAAGAAGTATGTATATAATGGGCCAGTAGTTAATACCTGTTTTGTATCTCCTTTTTTTTTGAATTTTATTTTATCTATTTTTTGTATCTAGTTTTATATTGAGCATGGTGGAGAACACAAGAAACCCTCAAGAAGCATATAATCCAACTGAGGTAAGAAGAATAAACACACAAGGAGTAATTCAAAAACAATTAGGGGTTGGGGACTTCCCCAGTGGTCCAGTGGTTAAGACTCTGCCTTCCAATACAGGGGGGAGTGGGTTCTATCTCCGGTTGGGGAATTATGACACACCGCTCACCTTTCACTGGCAGGGTTAAAGGTTTGTCCTGAGAGTGTTTCATCTCATCAGTACTATGAGAGATTTGAGTATATTGAAACTATTACCTTTGTTTAGTATTGTGCTACCCTGGCATTGGTTTATGTTCCCACAACACTTTATTTTTTAACTTTTATTTATAATGTTCTTAATATTTGATATATTAAAAAGTACATATAAAATATACATGTATAATTAAAAAATAGTACATTTAAGTTACAAAGCACAATGACAAAATAAACACCCCAAACCCACCACCTAAGAATTAAAACATTTCCAATAACCTTCATATACCTGTGAGCTCCTTCCTAATCCCATCTCCTTGCTTCCCCTAACCCCTAAGAATAACCACCATTTCGAGTCTTTCATTCCCTTTTTTCAATATAATTGTATCACTTAATGTATGTTTTCCTAAAGAATATACTATTTAGATTTGCTAGTTTTGAGCTTTAAAAAAATGACATTCTATGACTTGCTTTTGTTCAATCAACATTATGCTTTTTTTTATAAAGACATTTTATTTTATTGAGATACATATTTTTACAACTTTTTTTTTTTTTTACAAATATTATGCTTTTAAGACTCATTCAGTTGTGAGCTGCAACCTACTCATACCAGATTGGAAGACCCAACTGCCATTTCGGATCAGTTGCTTGAAATCAGCATTTATATTATGTTATATTTAGATTATGGAAGTCGTCAATCTCTACAAACCAGGGCCTTCTTTTTCAAAGAAACAGTTGTTCACATTTACCAGCACATCACTGATTTCATCCATTCTATGTGTGCAGCTGAAATGCATTCAGCTTCCTACAGTGTAACAATTTTATAATCTATCCATCTTAGTGTCCACCAGCATACTAACAAATTTGCGTACATTTCATGGTTCACGAGACTTGCTTCTCTAACATATTTATCCAGAAGTGGAGATTCTGAGCTTTACTCAGATTTTAGGATAATGGAAGACTATTTCCAAAATTGTTTATGCCCCACCTGTAGAGTATGAGTTTTTTTTTGTCTCTATCTTCACCAGCACTTGCTTTTGCCAGATTTCTTAATTAATGTCAAATAAAAGGTTGTAAAAGAGCATCTCTCTGTGGTCTTAACTTGCTTTTCCTTGATTACTAAACATTTTTCATATGCTCATTGGCCATTTGTGTTTCCTCTTCCGTGAAATGTCTATTCATATCTGTTGCTTATTTTTCTATTGGTTTGCTGATCCTTTCTTTATTAAATTATAGATGTACTTTATATATTCTGAATATTAATCTTTGATCAGTGACAAATATATTCAAATATAGTTTCCTATTTTGTAGCTTGTCAACTCACTTTTTTCTGGCATCTTTTGATGAACAAGAATTCTCAACACTCTATAGTTGAATATTTTTTAATGTTTAGGAACGTTTGCATCTTGTTTAAGATGTCCTTCTCTATCCAGATGTAAGGAAAATGTTTTCCTACGGTTTCTCTTCTAATTATTCCAATTGGATGTACCGACTGCTCCCTGCTAGAACACTGAATGATGAAGCAGTGATATACCTTAGATGTCACTGTAGTGGCATTACATGTACTTATTTATTTATTCTGCAAACATTTTGAAGTGCCCTGGCATGAACTTAATATGCTACACCAAGGAGTTTGAATTCCGTCCTATAGAAAATGGGACAGAAATAGCAGCTTTATTTTTATAAAGATAATGAACCAAAACGGGTGAGTTAGTACAAGGAGAATCTATTTACAGAGCTCTTACACTAGCTAGAGAAAGAGGACAAGGGCATAGACTAGGCAGTCTCAGGGAAAATGAAGATGAGACTGGCTTGGTGACAGTGACATGATTTGAGACCAATTTAACAAAGGGCTGAGAGAGAGGAAGGAAAATCAAGTTTGATATTGACATTTCCGCCCCGAAGACTGAAGGGATCCATGATGTGCGAATGTGAGTAGGCAATGTAAGTTCCAAAACCAAGTTGGAATTGGTGACAAACTTTGGGAGCAGCCAACGTAGAGTTGACATGTTTGTACCTTAAACAGGCACAGGCATTAAGAGGCTGCTCCTCAGGACCCACACTTCTTGCTTCATCGTCTCCTTTGCCCTTAACCTCCTGACACACAGCCTGCAGAAGTGGTGGATGTATGATTGGCAGCTATGGTGATTTGGCACAGGGGAAGATGTTTGGTTTAGTTTTCTTTTGTAAAAAATCTTTAAGTGCCGCTAAAATTACAATATCTATTGTTGGATTTAAAACTTACCCAAAAAATCTGGGATTATTTCATCTGGAGAATGAAGTGTTTGCGAGGTCTCTTCTGTCCTTTCCACCAGGTTGTCTCCTTGAAGCCTAAATGATTAACAGTGGTCATTGAAACTCTAATAAGGTTGAGTAGTGAAATGTGAACTACATACTACTGAGAACATGACTATGAACTTCTAAACTCTAAAATCAGACATGCTTCTTCCAAGTAGAAATACAGCCTTACTGAAACCTTTGTAATACGGTGTTTTTGCTTTTCTAACCTTTAAGGAAAAGTCCTTCTTCTTTTCTCCTGTATACATGGGAAGATTAGTCTAGATAGAATCTACTTTTCTTCTTAGCCTCACTGAGGAAGGTTTATAGACAAATGTTTTCATGGAAACTACAATGGGGAAGTGATTGGAAGAAAAGCAAGCATCCAACACAGTGTGCTTGCCTGACTCCTGGGTTGAGGGGCATGACAGGGTTCCAATGGCTGCACAGAGGTTTATCAAATACAATTCTCCAAATCAACCAAACCTGCACTTAAAGGCCTGCAGGTCAAGATTCGTCTCAACAGGGGGTGTGAAGATTCTCGATACGTGTGGCTGCCCAGGGTTCTCATAGACACTGGGTCTTCTTCAGGAGAGGCAGATTACGTGGGAACTTTTAGGACAATAGATTCCTGAGCTTCTATATCCTCACCTCTAGAGAGAGACTAGTCTGGGTTTACATTATACTGTGAAACCACTCTATCAAAGGAGGTAGAGCTCATCAATAAATGTTGGAACTCTGACCTAAGAGCAGCAGAATAAGCTCTGCTAATGTTGGAGGACAGTATATCAAATAATCCAGAGACTGGAAATTTCTACCAGTGCCCTTACTTTTTTCTTGCATTTAACTCCCATGAGGTGAGTGCTCTCATGGGAGTATTAATAAAAACATGACATATGCCATTAATATTTTCAAAAATACAAACTCAAATACAATTCATAACTGTACCAGGCTCAATAGTCAAAACTTTCAACTATTTTATATCGCTACAGCGGAATCCAATAACATATACGCATGACTCTCTCTTTACCTTTTGTATAATTATAAATATTGTACATTATATTTTTATTCCTACAATATTAAATATTGTCCATTTCTGTATATATTATACATTTATACTTACATATTACCTTCTGTACACAAACCATATTTACTGTATTATACAAGCTAATTAAATAATTCTCAAGAGTAGCTTGCTGATAGTCATATAAAACTCTTGGGTCAAAAATCTTACACTTTTAGTTAAGTTTTAAATTTTTACTCTAAAAAAACAGCATCACTTTTAAGAGACTGATATAGCTACATACTTCCCAAATCTGCCCAACTATTTCTTTTTATTTTGTTTACTTATAATAATTGGGAAATATTCTTTTTTCATCAAAATTATCAAAGAAAGAAAGTATGTAGGTACACAAGATAGTGAAACATGTAAGTAAAAATTATCATTAAAAATTAACAATGAGCTCCAACACCTTTGGGTATTTAACATTAGGTTAAAAACCAAAACAGAAAATAAATCTCCAACAAAGGCAGAATGAAACGAGAAATAAAAAGTAAGCTGTAATTTTTTTTTTTTTTTTGCTCATTGCAAGCTTCAATAAAAAGAGATACTTACTTAGTATTTATCAATATGCTCAATAATAACCCAAATGTTGTGGAGATGTGAAGAAATTGCTACTGCCCTTGATTTCACAGAGTTCTCAATTTAGCTGAGTTGAAAAGACAAATGGCCATGAAAACAACCAACAAATTGGGTGGCCCTGAAGCCGGCTCATCTTTGTCCGAACAGTGCCCTCCAGGTACCTTAAGAGTTGAATTCACCGTGACTTGGCAGCAACTCCATTGAGGAATGCTTCTCAGCCCTGCTATCCTTGAGCACTCTGCCAATGTTTCCCAAGCTGTAATCCACATAGCACTACTTTTGTAAGTGGTTAATAGGTACTATGTAAACAAGAGTTGTGTAGGCAAGTCTGGGAAATACGGTCTTAATAAAAGTTAAATCTTTTTTTTTTTTTTTTACACCTCAAGAGTTATACTCATACTCTCAAACATTTTCACTTTGTTTTCTAAAACTCCCCTTCCATATTAAACACTCTTCTATATTCTCAGCCGCTAAACAAAATGTTTTTTGCTCTTCCTTGTCATAACTGAAGCCCGTTTCTCGTCTAAGAATATGACATCCCTTTTTCCTCTAAGAATATTATAGTACCTCCTCTCCAAAGGAGGCTGTCTAAGCCCTCAACCTCAGCTAACACAGGATTATAAATATTAACCTGTTCTCTTTCTGCCTGTGAAGACTTTGATCAGGTCCAATATTTTCTTCTTCAACTCAAGTGTCACTATTATCGTGAATGATCTTCGTGTTCATGTGTATCTACCTGCTAATTTCAAAGTCCTTCCATCTCAAATCTGGAGAGCTTCCCTTCCATTTCACCTTCCCTAACCCAAGGAAAGATACCTCAATTGCTCTGTCAGAAATCTTTAAATCCAATATCCTGTTCTCTGACAACAAACTCGCCTCCTGTAGGCTCTTTCACAAACTCACTTTCTCTTTAATCAAACATAGATCTTCATTTTCCCTTGGTTTTCTCCCGGTTTCACACCTCTCCTGATTTCCTTCCTGCCCTCCTCAGCTGGGACTTACTGCCCCCTCAATTCCCATGCACCCATGTCCTTTAAGTCATTACTGCCAACCAGACCCGAACCCTGTGTTAACTCATCATTTTCATTCACATGTGCAGCTGAAAACTACTGGTGAAAATCAGGACACTCTAGGACTGATGAGTATAAATCAATAGTCTCCAACTTTAAACTTTGGCTTCTCGGTTGTTTTTCTTTCTTCCATTCCTTACAAAGTCTTTTCAAAAATATCACCTCTCTTCTGTGTCATCCAGAAAAAGTATCTAATCAGGAATAAGGACTTCCCACTCCCCGTCACACAGCACCAACAGAATTATCTTCACCCTGACCTGTGTATTCACCACCTTTCCAATTCACAGAGGATGAGAGACCCTCTCCCCTGACTAAGGCTTAGACCATCCATCAGGCTGGTGATTTGGGTCCCATCATCTCATCTGCCTCTTGGACCTAATTTCTTTTACTCACCACCACTCATTCTGTTTATCTCTACTGCTCATTTCCCACAGTATAGAAACAAGTTCACTTCTGCTGCAGCCTTAAAAAAACAAAACAAAACAAATGCCTCCCATAATTATCTAAAACATCTACCTGTTGCTTTTTCTAGTCTATTCTTCTTTGAGCCAAACTCCCTAAACATTCTAAAAATCCCTGAATGCCTTTTTAAAAAATTGAAGTATAACATAAAATATCCTATTAGTTTCAGGTGTGCATCACAGTGATTTATGTATACATTCTGAAATGGTCACCAGAAGTTTAGTTACCATCTGTCACCATGCAAAGTTATTACAATATTATTGACCATATTCCTTATGCTGCACATTACACCCCCATGACTTACTTATTTTATAACTGGAAGTTGGTGCCTCTTAATCTCTTTCACCTATTTTGGCTGCCCCTCACCCCACTCCCCTCTAGCAACCACCAGTTTGATCTCTGTATCTATGAGTCTGTTTCTGTTTTGTTTTATTTGTTCCTTTGCTTTGTGTTTTAGATTCCACATATGGACACTTGGGTTGTTTCCATATCTTGGCTATTGTAAATAATGCTGCAATGAACATATGGTTGCATATAGTTTTTTGAGTTAGTCTTTTTGTTTTTGTTTTGTTTTCAGACAAATACTCAGAAGTGGAATTGCTGGATCATATGGTAGGTCTATTTTTAATTTTTTGAGGAACCCCCGTACTGTTTTCCATGGTAGCTACACCAACTTAATTCCTACCAACAGTGCATGAGGATTCCCTTTTCTTCACATCCTTGCAAACCCTTGTTATTTTTTGTCTTTCTGATAATAGCCATTCTGACAGGTGTGAAGTAAAGTCTCATTGTGGTTTTGATTTGCATTTCCCTGATAATTAGTGATGTTCAGCATCTTTTCATGTGCCTGTTGGCCATCTACATGCCTTCTTTGAAGAAAAAAAAGTCTATTCAGGTCCTCTCCCCACTTTTTAAATCCGGTTGTTTGTTTTTTTGATTTTGAGTTGTACAAGCTCTTTATATGTTTGATACTAACTCTCCACCAATGCCTCTACTTCCACAGTTTTAATTCACCCTTCAACTTATTTAATTTAATTTATTTTATTTTTTACATCTTTATTTGAGTATAATTGCTTTACAATGCTGTGTTAGTTTCTGCTTTATAATAAAGTGAATCAGCTATACATATACATATATCCCCATACCTCCTCCCTCTTGCATCTCCCTCCCACCCTCCCTATCCCACCCCTCTAGTCGGTCACAAAGCACTGAGCTGATCTCCCTGTGCTATGCGGCTGCTTCCCATTAGCTATCTATTTTACATTTGGTAGTGTATACATGTCCATGCCACTCTCTCACTTCGTCCCAGCTTACCCTTCCTCCTCCCCGTGTCCTCAAGACCATTCTCTACGTCTGTGTTTTTATTCCTGTCCTGCCCCTAGGTTCTTCAGAACCTTTTTTTTTTCCCTAGATTCCATATATATGTGTTAGCATATGGTATTTGTTTTTCTCTTTCTGACTTACTTCACTCTGTATGACAGTCTCTAGGTCCATCCAACTCACTACAAATAACTCAATTTCGTTTCTTTTTATGGCTGAGTAATATCCCATAGTATATATGTGCCACATCTTCTTTATTCATTTATCTGTCAATGGACACTTAAGTTGCTTCCATGTCCTGGCTATTGTAAATAGAGTTGCAATGAACATTGTGGTACATGATTCTTTTTGAATTTTGGTTTTCTCAGGGTATATGTCCAGTAGTGGGATTGCTGGGTTATATGGCAGTTCTATTTTTAGTTTTTTAAGGAACCGCCATACTGTTCTCCATAGTGGCCGTATCAGTTTACATTCCCACCAACAGTGCAAAGGGTTCCCTTTTCTACACACCCTCTCCAGCATTTATTGTTTCTAGATTTTTTTGATGATGGCCATTCTGA